TGATTCAAGTGACTATAATTTTATAGTTACTTGAATCATTTTTATGGTAATTTCAACTATTTTATGGTTATAACAACTATAATTATATAGTCATTTTAAGTTGCCAACTATATACATTTGTTGATAGAACTATATACATAGTTACTGTTACTATTATTATAGCAGTAATAATCATAATTATAGTAATATGTAATTATAGTTACAAATACCAAACATTTTTCTCTCAGTGTACTTGATTTTTCATTTGCTGCCTTTTTTCTTTGTGGCTGTGCTAACTTCAGTCTTAAGCTAGCACAGCCATGGGTTTTAGCGAATCGGCTAGAGCAAAAAAATCGAGAATAGAGCAAAAAATTAACAAAAAAATAGCAAAAAATGTGGTATAGGTCGCGTTTGATTGTGCTGAAGTAGCTGTGCCAGCTTAATAGACGTCTTTCACACCGTGAAAGTACAGTAACAGTAGTGTTACTCAAACGTAGCGTTTTTTAGGATTCAATGTACAAACACTAGCTAAAAGCCAAAGAGGGTAGTTAATGCACGTTAGCGTAATAAAAAAAGTCTTTTAAAAAACAACTGCACTCACAGTGTGTGCGCGCAATAACATATATATCGCATTCATTTTATTATGTGCTTAATTTCAAGTAAATAATAGAAATTGTGTACATCTTTTTACGCTTTACATTTATTACCTCCTAAAATTTTGTTATTTTTAAAATTTTTTCGCGTTTGCTTTAATCGAAAATTAAAGTTCTTAGTCGTTACATTATCTATTTAAAAAAAATAAATAGGAAAAAAGAATTTTCCCGCTAATAACGTTTTTATTTATTAAAATAATAGTATTTTTTAATTATGTATAATATTATTTTATGAAGGCCGTTCAATGTATCCTACGATAACAATATTTGCGAATACTTTTAGCATGAAAGAGAACAAGAAAGCATTCTCTATGACGTCGAAATAAATAGGCATAACCAGATGATGAAGATAAATGAATACAAAGCAACAATACATAATCAGCAAGAAAAAATCTTGCAACACCTTTTATGCGTATTGCTGTTATCGATAGAAACGTCAACTGATAGTACAAATAAATTTAACGATGAATCTTAATACAGCACATTATTTCGAAGAATATCATTACAAGATAAAACCAACATATAATTAATAAGATCAAATTAAACATAACATCATTTTGAAATATGTTCGTTTTAAGAATAGTACGTTATAAATCCTCCAATAAAACTTACAGTAAAAAATTATCCTTTATTGTAAATCGTTTTATTCGTAACAAGACAGGAAGTTTTTTCTGATAAAAGTTGTAACAGAGCAACGCAAATTGTGTGATTTGATATTTCCATACTATTGCTACTACCACGTTGCACAGGATATCGCGTGACTTCAAATCCTATCTCGCATCAAATGACGAATGGCAAACGATTCGCACACGAATGCAGCACAAACCTAATTGCACCGTATGTACGCGTCGATTGATGATCCTTATTGTCGATCGTATTCAAATTAACGCGCCGATAATAATCGCAATTTCCGGTTTCCAAAAAAGGAAAAAGGAAGTAGTTGTATTATCTCTTTATATCGAGAACGGGGTAATTAAAACTTTCCCGTAAATGCACGTGATTTCCCAATTAAAATATAACATGCGCTTATAAAATTGCGCGCTTGGAATCGATACCGCCGCAAAATTGCAAATCAAACGAGACTGCGCGAATTCCATACATTTTTATTTAGTCCAGAAAAAAGAACAAAACGGAAGGTGGATGAACAAAATTAAATAAAATTGACCTCGAATGCCAATATCATGGAAAATCTAGCTGAATATAACAAATTATCAGCTTACACTGCCATGCAATGAATTTTAGTTAAACCATTTAGCAATTCTAAAAAAATTATATAATTATATTGTGTGAAATTTTACAATAAATTGTAAAGTACATAAAAAATCTCATCGACACATACCCGTTCTCTCTCTCTCTCTCTCTCTCTCT